TGAATTCCACGAGTATAGAAAGCTTAATAGAAAGGTTAATAAATGGGACAGGTGTGTTTCTTAAGATATCTTGAGCGAACTGGGCATTAACGAGCTTCACTTTGCAACAACAAACAACTTTAAAGGGTATTTTAACATCGGCGCTCTCTCCAGTTCCGAACACACATAGTATAGCATTATACTAAAAAACAAGTTTATAAATGTATTTATCTATAAATAGGAAACAGCCGGACTTAATAAATTTAACTTGAGCATGCCTATTGACAAGCTATAATCTAATCTATGGCTAATGTTAATCTACAAAAGCGACAACGGGTACATTGTTATAATGCAAGTACTCGCATGTAACTGCTATACTTGTTGTCTTATGAATCTTTACTTAATGTTGTCTTGTGACTTTTATAAACTTAAAAGTAACGCATCTTTTTGCTGTCCAAGAGCTTGTCCGACCGTCTGATTATACTTGCGATTGTCCGACGCGAACTAGCTGAATGGCTGCCGTGTACTTGTTCCAAGTAGGGTTTCGTATCAGAAAGCGACAAAAATAAAAAGAAAACGGTGTGGATTTCGATTAAACAGGAAAATGTATGCCGAATTTCAGTCGGTATTTAGCATGGAAAGATAACGCTCGTGTTCTGCCCATAATCCATATAAGTAAAAAGTCGATCGTATGGAATTGAAGAAAGTGCCAGCTAAATACATTCACGTCTCACCATGAAGAGCTCCAGTGCCAAGGGAAAAGAAACCTTACGCATATGGATTGGAAATGCAGATCTGCGAAAGAACCCGCCGCTCAACCGGGTGACAACGACCAAGTACACCTGGCTGACCTTTATCCCATTGAACTTTTACGAACAGTTTCGACGGGCCGTATACTTTTACTTCCTGCTGATCACGATTGTATCATTTTTCGTTAGTATGTCAGATCAATCGTGCCTCTGTGAAATGATCATTAAAACACATATATATTTTAATTAACACGCAGATGATACCATATCTCCATTAACATCGCTCCTGCCACTGCTCTTCGTCATGATTGTGACCGCACTGAAGGAAGGTCTCGAGGATTATTCCCGGTCGAAAAATGATAAAATCGTGAACACAACTAAAGGTTTGCCAATTGAATCCCTTAATTTCCATAGGGTTTACATTTAACTATGATTTTTCCGCATTCTTCAGTTACCGTTATACGCAATGGCAGGGAACAACGAATCGCCTCGGAATTTATAGTGCCGGGAGATCTTGTTGTAGCAACAAGTGCCAGCGATGTGCCATGCGATATGCTGTTGCTTCAGTCGTCTGGATCGGAGAACATGTGCTTTGTGAACACGGCGAATCTGGACGGCGAGACCAATCTGAAACCGATCTTTGTACCGGCTAACTACGCATACGATTTGCACTTGGGTTGCATCGTTTGCGAACCATCGACGCCGGATCTCTACGCATTCAATGGACGCATCGAGCTGCCACTCACAGACGGGGCAGAGGTCAACCCAGAGCCAATAGCACTGGGGATCGAGAACCTATTGTTGCGTGGTGTGCGCATCAGGGGCCCGGAGCGTGTGGTGGGCTGTGCCATTTACACGGGCATGTCCACAAAACTCCAGCTAAATAGCCGGTATACGGGCAACAAATCGGCGTCCAGCGAAAAATACATCAATAAATTCATCATTGCGCTCATTGTGGGAATGATAGTTGTTGTCTTTATACTCTACCTGATCGAACGGTAGGTATATACAGAGTTTCAGAAGCCGGAAATATATTTAATTTTTTGCCTCCTTGGATTACTTTCAGGCAAAAGGAGGCCAACGTCTATCCGGCTATACACTACTTGGGACCGCCCCCAGATTACAATGCGATTTTACAAATCTTTGAGGACTTTTTATCATTGCTGATTTTGTTTAACTACATGGTGCCGATTTCAATGTATATGAATATTGAATTGTATCGTGTTTTTGGTGCTCTATTTATGAGATCCGATCTGAGCTTGTACGATGAAGAGACCGATCAACCCTGTGGAGTAAATGCATCCAACTTGAATGAAGACCTGGGCCAAATCAACATTCTGTTTTCGGACAAAACTGGAACACTTACCAAAAATCAAATGATCTTCCTTAAGTGCTACGTTGGGGGTCACAACTATCATTTACAAAACACCCAATTGTACAGCCCCGATACAGATGAAAGCCACGAGCTGGACACAATGGATGTAAGTAGCCTTGAATCTTGATCCTATGCTCCATCTAATGCCAAACTGTTGCAATTCTCAGGCCGAGGTGATGAACTTTTTTGAGGCCTTGTCCGTGTGCCATACAGTGGAGGTTATGGCAAGCTGCGATGAAAAATCCGCCGAAGCTCAATCGGAGCACGATAATCTGATAACGACGGACATTATCGACAGATACCAGGCATCTAGTCCAGATGAAAAGGCCATACTTGAGGGCTGCGCCAGATTGGGTCTCATTTTCAAAGGTACTGACAATAATACGATGCACCTCAGCCGTAGCTTTGGAGGCCACATTGCCGGCGATCTACAATACGAACGCCTGCATGTACTCGAGTTTAGCTCGGAAAGAAAACGCATGAGCGTCATCGTTCGGGACGAGAGCGGTCAGATCTGGCTTTATAGCAAGGGAGCTGAAGCTTCCATTTTGCCGCGCTGCAAGGAAACATCTCCAACTGCTCAGACGGATGTGCAAATAACGGAATATGCCAAGGAGGGTCTACGTACCCTCGCTGTTGCAAGCCGCACCCTAACTGAGGAGGAATATGCCACATTTCTTGCCTCATGCAAAAATGCCAATATTCAACTCAGCAATCGAAAGGAACTCATCGAAGAGTGTTACGAGAGCATTGAAGTTGGTAAGCTTCCAAAAACATATCTAATTTTTGAAATCTTTCTACAAAGTCTGCTCACTGAAATAGATTAATATATATATATATATAGACAAAATGTATAAGCAGTTGGTGATTTATGATTCCCATAAATCCTATCGAAATTTGAACTTAGCTTAGCTGAGATTTCTAAAAGACTTCGCTAGAATTCTAATGGACTGTCGTTTCAGAACTTGACCTGCTGGGTGCTACGGCTTTGGAGGATGCACTCCAGGACGATGTTGACAAAACGCTGATTGCATTACAGGAAGCTGGCTTAAAGATATGGATACTTACGGGCGACAAGGTGGAAACAGCATTGTCCATTGGCATGGCCTGCAAGCACATACCGCAAGTAGCTGAAGTACATTTCCTTATCAATATAACCGAACCGGTGGAGCTGCAAAAGCGCTTGAATCAGCTCGAACTGGGCATCGCATCAAATGCATCGACTCCCACTTGCCTGGTAATCGATGGTATTACTGTGTCCGCGCTTTTAAGCCAGCTGCTCGATCAATTTGCTGAGGTGGCTCTCAACTGCAAGGCTGTGCTCTGCTGTCGCCTGAGTCCACTCCAAAAGAGCGAAATAGTTATGCTTATCAAGAAGTCGGGCAAACATATCACAGCTGCCATCGGTGATGGGGCCAATGATGTGTCCATGATCCAGGAGGCGCACATTGGCATTGGCATTTCCGGTGTGGAGGGCAAACAGGCAGCACGCAGCGCTGATTATTCCATTGCCAAATTTTCTATGCTGCAACGCCTGTTGCTGGTCCATGGCCATTATAATACCGAACGTCTGGCATTTATGGTGCTCTTCTATTGCTATAAAAACATTATTATCACTGGATGCATGGCGCTGTTTCAAGTATATGACTTATATTCGGCTACATCTGTCTATAACGAGCTGTATCTATGGCTCTTCGATATTATTTACATATCTTTCAGTTTCACGTATTTGGCCATGTCCGACAAGCATTATAGTGAGAACACCTTGTTAAGGTAAGCTTAGACAACTTAATATGGATAACATATATACCTTAATCAATATCAATATATGATTTCAGATTCCCGACCCTATACAAAGCAATATCGCACAATAAGCTCAGCTCATGGAAAACATTTACGATATGGATTTTAAATGGTGTCGTTCAGACTTTCATTATATTCTACTTTGCGTTTGCCGTGCTCAACGATAATAATGTCGTCTTCAATGAGGGACAAACTGCAGATTTCTCAACATTTGGTACTATGCTTATAATGGTACTAGTGATAGTGGGAAACCTGAAGGTACTCTTGGTTTCACACTACATGAGTTATCTGAACTTTGCCTTTATTATTGCATCAATATTTGCATTTATGTTAAGCACTTACCTCTACAATTTGGACAGCAGCAGTACTCTTTACCACGTCTACAATATGTTCTTGAGCTCGCTTCCCATGTGGCTCTATATTATTATATGCACGGTGGCATGTTTGCTTCCCGACTTTGTAATGAAAGCTGTTAACGATATGTTTTTAGACCCGCCAGAGCCGAAAGAAATCAGTAAATCCTAGATCGTAAGCTCCCCTGATATTTTTATTATTCTTCACATATTATTGCACAATAAAATATAGTTTTAGTCATTAAAAAAACCAAACTTTATGCTAATATATCATGAGCAATATTGGTATATATTTTTGTATTTCACTTTTAATTCAAACCGACTGTTAATAAGAAATATTTCGATCAATCGAAGCAACTACTCACCTTTTCGATAGCCTACCGATAACTACCAGGGCTACACAAATTTCAACAAGTACAGCTGTGCAATGAAAAATGAATGCCAATTATTAGCTTGCCTGGTTGGCAGTCCGCTAAGGGCTGCAAACGCTTATCGACTATACAGAATTGGCCACATCGTATCGAATGTTTTACTAAGTTATTATTTTTTATATAAAGGTTCTAAGTGCAGCTGATTGATTGAATGCATTTGGGATTTTGTTTCTTTCTCTAAATTTAGAAACAGAAAAAATGGGCAATTGCCGTAAGAAAGCAGTTGCTTGCAAATTATCGAATGTTTCTCCGTAGCTATCGATAACGAGAATGCATCGATTTTTTTGTTAACATGCCTAATGCAAATAAAATATAATAATAATAAGATAAAAAGTTTTTAATTAGCGAATATAGTGTAGAAATGGAAGTGGAATACGATGATTCCGGCTGGCAGGGCCGTACAAAACAACAGTCAACTACCGAGGTAAACATCAAATTTGACGTTTATGTCAACGCCAAGCCAACCAATCAAAACAAAAAACTTGTTTATTCTTATACACTTGTTTCTAAATAAAGGAACTTCACGAAGATAATCCACAAAAAACGATACAAGAATGCTTAGAAAAATTTCTAACACCCGACTACATAATGGAGCCTGGGATTTTTACACAGCTCAAACGCTACTTCCAATCCGGCGGCTCTCCAGAAGAAGTGATTTCAATGTTATCTGAAAACTATAAAGCGGTGGCCCAGATGGCAAATCTGTTGGCCGAGTGGTTAATTCTAGCCGGTGTGAAGGTAACGGAGGTCCAGGCGATGGTAGAGAACCATTTAAAGGAAATGATTCTGAAGTCGTTTGATCCGAAAAAAGCGGATACGATATTCACCGAGGAGGGTGAGACGCCGGACTGGCTGACAGAAATGATCGATCATTATACGTGGCGATCTTTGATATATCGACTAGCTGAAGAATATCCGGATTGTCTGATGCTCAACTTTACAATTAAGTTAATATCAGATGCCGGATTCCAAAGTGAAATCACGTCTATCTCTACGGCCGCCCAACAGATTGAAGTGTTTTCCCGCGTTCTCAAAACATCAATTGTTAAATTTCTGAATAATCCCGACGATGTGCACGGCGCCATTCAGGAGTGCGCCCGGATGGTGTGCCACGGCCAGCACACGTATGTCTACTCGCAGGTGTTGATACAAGTGCTCAGTCAGGAACAGAAAGGCGGCTTCAATATGAAACGGTTATCCCAGGAAATCATCAAATACGCCTTACAAAAGTACATTTGATTCACATATACATGCCACCTACCTGCTTACTACTACTAACCTTGTTCTCTTTGGTTTCTATGATTTGTTGCAGCAATCAGAATGTGACGCCTATAACAATGGCTCTGAATGGCTCGGCGGTATATCCGCAGGCGTGTCAGGCGCTTACCTCGATGTTAACGCGCAATACCCTAAATCCAGCTGATATAACCGTTCTGTTTCGTAACTATTCGGGCTCGGATCCGCCACCGATAGACCTCATACGGAATCCGCAGTTTTTGGAGCTATTGGTTGATGCGCTTTTTCGTTCTGGTGTCAAAATCAATCCGGAACATAAGCCCAAATACGTTTTCCTGCTGGCCTATGCTTCCTCTGTTATTGACCAGCCCGCAAAGAAGAGGCCCTTGACCGAAAGAACCCTAAATAAAGACGAACTGAAGAGCACCATTCAGGCCATTGAAAAAGCGCACGCTATTTGCAATGTAGACCAGGGCTCCACTGAACTTATAGCCGAGCTGCAGACTCTTTACAATTGCATAAAGTAAGCATATTGATTCTAATACTGACCAAATGTAGCTTATTCCCGCGCTTTTCGGTTCGTATAGGTATCCAGTTGTCGGTGTTGGTGTAATCCGATGGATAGAAAATGTTGTAATGGAGCCATCCTACTTTAAACTATCTACGGACAGCTGTCCCACGCATTTGGCGGTGCTCGATGAAGTAGCTGGGGTGCATCCAACATTGCAGCAGCAAATACTTTTTCTACTTATCCGTTTATTCGAATCCAAGCAGGATGAATTGGAGATACTTGTGCAACTAGAAATGAAAAAGATGATTCTAGATCGTATGGTTAATCTGCTGACACGCGGCTGCGTTGTTCCAGTGCTGCGATACATCAAGCAATGCTGTGCCATCGAGGACACGGACATTTCATTGATTCGGTACTTTGTTACCGAAGTGCTTGAGACAATAACACATCCCTATTCGGCAGAGTTTGTGCAACTCTTTCTGCCGATGGTTGAAAATGAGGAGATAACTGGCACGATGCGCGGCGAAGGCGATAATGATCCCGTCTCGGAATTCATTGGTATGCCTCCAAAATACGAAGATTTACTATTTCTTTGATGAATCTTAACTAAATTTTACCTCTTGTTTCAGTTCACTGTAAGGCGCATTATACCACTGTATAGCAGACAATTTTTTAGCAATTTAAGTACAAAATTTTTTTACTATAAGCCCACATTCATGTATGTAAATCAGTAAAAGTCCAGTTTTCAACTTTCATATTTTTATTATACAGATGATATTTGTTGTTGTCTTACTCTTCGCACTTGCCTCTATCTCGTCCCCTCTCACTCGGATCGATATTTGTGTATATGTAAAAGGGAAAAAAACGTTTGAAAAATTCAAATCACATAGATTTATTGCAACCAATGATCATTAGAATCTCATACAAACGCGTTCAATTGTATGAACGCGTGTTTACATATAAATATACACTAAATAGTCCGATTATTGTATATATACTCGTCTGTGATGAACTCTTTAAATGTATGAATTCCTTGGATATACTCCCAAACAAATGTAATATTTAACAAAATTTCATTGTTCAAAAAATGACTTAAATATTTACATCTTGGGGGTTTGAAAAAAAAACAGAATATGCCACGTCTATGACTTTTAGATACTTTGTTTATAAATATGAATTAGCTTCGACGTGCCGAAGACTGTGCTACAAAACCTCAGCAATTGCCCAGATTTCATTATACTGCAGACACAAATCGTACATTTAATTAGTCGTCGTCCTATTCTGAGTTTTTCAGTCGTCAATAAAAACAAAACAAAAAATTAGGTTTACGTAGTTTGAAAGTCCCCAAATATACTAGAAATTTAAAAACATAACTAAAAATATAAATGGAAAATCAGAGTCAAGGATAAGCAGACACACCCACTTGTTGCTTATCATTAAATTTGATTTTGTACATCGAATCTTGTACAAATACGGATATCAGTACATATTTTACTTATGAATTTTACATTGAATAATGTTTGTTCGATATTAATAAATTGTAGCTTTGGTTGGCAGCGTTTACTAATTTTGAGCTAATTTACAAATGATTCAATTGCTTTTCTTAACGTCTTTACTATCGCCATCCTTGGCCTGGCCACGTCCCAAAATCTTGGCCAAACTATCCCAAATACCACCAAAGAAGATTGCACAGCACAGATTTTCCAATGGAAGGAAGGGATCATGAATGCCCAACAAGATGGAGGACAACTTAAAGTACACCAAGAATATAACAATGCCAAAGTATACTAAGGCGTGCGGCGCTGAGATCCAATCGGTCTTTTTGTCCAGCACGAAGATAATGGAGGCTAGCAACGATGCTTTCGTATAGCTGAAACAAAGCAAAGCGTTCGATCATAAAAACGTAGGATACAGATAAATTATTAGCTTACAATGATGGCTGCATGAATTCCATTGCCGTCGGTGTCCATGCGCCTCTAATGAGGCGCTCGATCAACTTAGTGAAACCAGCGCCGTTGCCCTTGAGGGTGCCGATTATGATCATGATTATCCACGCGTTTGGATACAATTTGGCAGCATGTCCGACGCCGTCGTACACTTTCTTAGCACGGTATATTTCCTTCATGGCACTGGCGACAATTTTTACTGGCAGAAATTTAGCCACCTTGTATCCAATATCAAAGGGTGTATAAAATACTAAATACCTGCAAAAGCAATTTGCCAATGCTACATTATGCATTCACACTATATACATATAAGAGTGCTGAGACTAACCACACAGCTGTGCCCACAAGGAGCTGTCCGGTGTTCTTCAATGGAGCCAATATGGGCTCACCCAGTAATCCATTAGCCACCATGCCGCCCGCGAATATCACCAGCATTGTGGATAGCCAACAGGCCAATGGATGCTTCCTGGAGAAGGCCTGAGCGTTGGCGCCTAAATCCTCGCGCACGGCCAGCGCGGCAAGTAAACTGTGCGCGATATCAAAGAACGGAAACATTTTTAGCTTGATGACCTGATTGGCCACATCCAAAAACGCTTCCGGGTCCATGATCACAGCCGATCTTGTATCCTGCCTTCACGGATGATATTCTGAAAGTGCAAATTGTGCAATAATATTATATTAGTTGGAGCTTTTGAGTGCAATCTGAGTGTACATAGCTCGGGGAATACACAAATACCCAAAATGGGGCCACATTGCAAATATGATTAAGAAGCACACGAATAATAGTATTTAATATTTGTTGGTTTTTCTTTTGACTCACAACTGCAAAAATAATTATACTTTTTGGTTTTACAAACGTTATATAATTATAGACAAATTCAAGCAATAACTTGCAAGATTTGTACAAAAATAATTTTTGAATTGGCATTAAACATTTGCGGCATAAAAACAAAAAAAAAAAAAAAAAAATGATGCCTATGTAAGCAGATATACAACAATATGTATATTATCTAAATATGTGTACATACACATAGATTCAAATGCACTTGCTCTGATTTCTTACACTTTCTTATTGCAGATTCAATTGAAGCTCTTTGAACCCGCAGTCGTACCGAGATGTAGAAGTTGTCGAATTGTATGTTAATGTCGAAAAACATAAAAACAAATTCTAAGTCTAAATAAAAATGTCGCTGCTTTGCCAGAGCTCCAAAAATAAATTTCGCTGATGAATCGGCGAGGGCTGTAAGAGGCGCGCGCACCGGGTCCGTGCCTGCCCGTGCCTGCCCGCGCCACCGTCCGCCCATCCTCCCGCTCATCCGTTTCAACGTATTTTCTTGTTTGTGTGCACATGTACACACTGCTAGCTGGCGCCGACTATTTTTGAGCGGCGAAAGTTTGGAGCGATGTGAATATGCATGTACATGTACATACACATACACATGCACATCTCTTCGTTATTACAGGAAGCATCAAATATTTCCTTCTACTGTCCACTCGCTTTTCCGGTTGTGTCTCCTTTGTATAAATCATTTTTTATTTACCAAAACTTGCAGCAATATGCGCACTGTGCATACAATTTACTTAAAAACATGCATACATATATACCTATTTGTATGTATGTATATATAGATATATGCAAAAGATACATATACAGCAAGAATAATATAAATAATCTAACAAATTACCTACGTCTACACGCGAACAACGGATTGCTGAGTGCAGCACGAGCACGGGGAGACTGGGCTCGAAGCTGGCCCGTATATTACATGCTCATGTCGTTTCGATAATTCTACATTGCTCTCAGGAATATGTTATATATTTAGAATCCGTGAGTTTATGTTCAGAGAAACAAACCACATACATATACTCATGCATGTGTGCGTAAGTAGCTGATTAGACAGACGGCTAAGAGGACTGTGTCTCATAATTGGAAGTTTCGGTCTACGTGTATGTAAGCAGAATGGTGCATGCAAAAATATATATTGATACATATACATGCATTTATTTTTTTGCATACATATATAGTTCTTGTGACACGCAAAGGAGATGCTTTTGCCCGGCTCACTTAATAATTATGTATATTATTCTTCAAATCGCAGACAGTGGTCACATTGTTTCTTATAGGTACTTCTAGTGCTTATCATGAGACCGATACGAATTGAATTTAAATCGGGAAATCGATAGATCTTGCGCTGGACTTAATCGATACATCGATGTCTTAAATATCAAAATTGTTAATGTTTTTTGACATCACTAACTTACTGTATTTTTTGTGTTTTTACAAATTCTAATTAAAACTTTCAATACTTCAGCGAACTCCTTTTTACCAAATCCGTCCAAACAAGACAGAATCTCGGCTTAATTTGTAAACAAATCCACAAACGCTTCACAGAAACATTTTAAATAACCAATATATTTACATATATATATGCATACATATGCATATTGTTTGCACAAAAACTGGTGCATATCTTACATTGCCTTTAACAATAATATAAAGGCCCCACGACGAAGAGGTAAGTGCAATATACGGTTAATTTGACATCGCTACTCGTGTTTACAAAAAAGTATCAAAAGCAAGTTTCTGCTTCATTATATTGTTAATTTGCACCCAACAAACATATGTATGTGCGTATGTTTGTATGAAAAGCCATTGACCATGCACGCTCACACAACCCACACGCACGCACACACTAACGCACACACGCACGTACACACACACACACACACACACAGACACATACGCACTTTTTGTGAATCTTGGCTTATTTGGTAAAACTGATTTGCACAATTTAAAGGTCGCAGCATTTACAGGGGAATTTAGGTGAAGGAAACCGTAACGTAATATGGTTATAATCTGGGATAAGCCACACAAATTCTGGTATTAAGTAATTTATGCACGTAAAGCACATTCAAGCTATCGTATTTGTCAATAACTAAACGTCAACAGTGGCAGATATCGTATCACGCACATATATGCATGTATGTATGTGTGTGTGCTTGCACGAAACAACATCAACAATTGCGAAAATAGAGAGTTGTAATCACAAGCTAAGCTTTTATGCTTAGTGGGAATTGTATCGTACATAAATATCTAATTGATTGATCAAATTGCTAAAGGAGCAAGGAGCACGGGCCCAATTTGAATGTACACGCGTGCATGTGAATATTCATTTGTCTGTGTCTGTGTGTTGTTTGTATGTATGTAATGTTTGAAACGGGGCGTTGATTTTCAGATGGCTTCCAATTCATCTAAGAAAAACAAATCGTCTGGTTTGCGCATATTGTGGATACCAGGACGAAAAAGCCATCCGAAAGGTCGATTGAGTTCTACAAACAAACACATCTCGTATTCGCCCACCCAAAAGAAAAGCGAGGTGTGGACCTTGGGCGGCAGCAGGGCCCAAACTGAACTAATTGACTTGTGAGTATATTGCAAATACATATTTAAACAAAAAAAACAGCTAACATACCAGATACGTACTATATAAATCAAAAAGATGAGCGACCGCAACATTAAGCACATACTGTTGACAATCATATACATATGTAAGCTAACATATAAAAAACTTCAGCAGGCCAAGTCAAACTTCAATGTTTTAACTGTGTTTTTGTTGTTATTGTTTTTTTTTTTTTTTTTTTTCTTTTGTAGTATATACCAAACGATAAGATATATAATATATACATACATTTGTAGCTTCGATGCTGAAGTGAATTGATTGATTATATATAGATATTTGATACGTTTATCACATAATATTTTAGGCCCTCGCCGGAAATCAACGGTGCTTCGACATCATCATTGGCTGTATTGGGCGCCATGTCCTCAACGCTTGTGAAGAGTGTAAAAGGGGATTCCCTGAATCGTAATAACACTACACCAGATGATGCCACGGCTGTCTCAGAATGCGCCACACTGCCAACAACTCCAGTTGCCGCAATATCTCCAAATTTAAATAGTCCACTCTCGGAGCTGGCTCCGTCGACACCCTCAACAACCTCAACAGCAATGGCATCCCCGATTGTTGTGACAACAGTTGAAATTCTTGATTTAGTAAGTCTGATAGACAAACATATTAGCTAATTCTGATCTTTTGATCTTAACAGCACAATATTTTAAACCCCGATGATTTGCCGAAGGTGCCATCAATCGGCGAAACAGATTTGTCCACATCGGCTGTCGTATTAAATAGCTCAGCAGGAACAACAGCTTCGATAACCACTAATTCATCTCCATTAGCAAACCGCAAAGCCCACAATCAGGCAGCGGCCAACAACAGCTCGCCACATAAGAGCAGATACAGGAACCACAACAACAATCAGGTCCATTGAATTAAGATCGCGGTTTAACAATAGAACTATAACTTTTGTTCTTTCTTTAAGCAGGATGACATAAATTCCATCGAGAGTATTTCCAGTTTTAATAGAAATCAGGTAAACGCAAATTTCGAATGGATTGATGATATGGTGCAGCAACGCAACTGTAGTGAACTGATGCACAAAAACAAACGTAAAAAATCAAAAAAAATGGTAGATGCCAAGGAATCGGATCAATTGGATGGCCGCAAAATCAAGGAAAAGCAAGGAATGGCACCTTACGAGGACAATGACGAAAAGGTGGTTAAATGTCTCTATTATTCTCTCATGTGCTGCGACTGTACAATATCATAGATATAGATATAGTAATAAAGATTAAAACAAAAAGCGCATATGCACGTACATATGCCAGTGTATGTAGCTTAAGAATGTATGCATTTAAAAACAACCTGCTCAAATATTTTGTATGTATGTATGAACTTGTACATTTTTATACGGAACAAATGATAATTTGCCTATAAGTCTGTGTATACGTACAAATGCATTATTCGAAATAACCGTGACCAAGTATTCCATTTAATATACAATATTCAACATTTGAAAATGAAACGAATTTATGCAGCGCACACATTTCCAACATAGCCAAAACCGAATTATCGAAATATACCTATAAAATTGAAGTTTTTGAATTAATTTGCCCAGACATGCAACAGATATGTATTATATGGCTATTTGATATTTTTATATACACATGTATATTTTCCTGTAAATAAAGTGAAAGCATTTTTGTTTTCTATTGATACTTAAAAAAATATTCAAAATAAAGTGAATATCATAAGAAATTGTCACTCATTTGCATTTGCATCTGCATTTACATACTCTAACATCGTCATACTCTACATACTTATGCATATGTACATGCATATACCCATACCAAGTTCCTTTCAAAACGGCTCCTGTTGCACAGGATAAGTACAAAAAAATAAAGAGAAAAAAAAACATATTTTTGTTCAACTTGACATAACATTTTTCATAAAAATTTAATACAAACATTAAATTTACAAATATATATATATATAAAAACAATTCACAATCACATATAAATTTTTATCATTTCGGATGTTAAATATTTCGATTCGCTATATTCCTCAAGTAAGGTTAAAATTTACTAGTCCAGAGCAAGAAATTCAGGATCAAAGTTGTTGGTGTTGGTGTTGCTGTTGTTGCAATTGTTGCTATTGGTGCATTCACATTCAATTTATCAATGAATCAGCTATGAACAATCTTACTATTCATTCCGCTAGTGGTTGCCTGATTCATATACGTGGGACTGCTACATTCGGTGTGGTTTGTGTTTGCATTGCGTTGGGTATCGAATTTTGATTTATTCACACCCGCACCTTTACAATGAAACTCGACCGCATCAATATCATTTGTACTTTTAATAAAAAATTCGTTTCCATTCATTTGACCATTGGGTTCGTAGACGACCTTCTTAATAGCCCTAGTGTGGACATCCAAATCATCATCCGTATTATCTTCCGTATCGTCGCCGTCGTCACCCACATTGAATATAAATCTAGCTTCATTGCTCGGATCGCTTTTCCGACCACCCGATCTGCTTATTATTTTCCTATACCGAACCGAATTCCTCGATACATGATTACTATTGCGCTACAATTGAATAAAGAACATAGTAGGAGTCAGATTTGGTTGTATAAAGAGTGACAGAGTAAAAGAAAATTGTTTACCTGTAGAACGGCAAATATTATGGAGAATATAGTTATGATTAATAAACAGATGGCAACCGCAATTGCTGTGATTGCAGTCAGTGGTGAGT